GGTTTACATACGAATAGAAGCGTTAAGGGCATTCTATAGATTCCTTAACAGTTGTTTCTTCACACAACCTTCTAGACTTACGGAGGGTCGAGGCACAAGTATTTCGATATTGTGATTTTGTCTCATCGGTACCCAGTGGCCCGAATCTCTCGCACATTCTTCTTTTGCCGAGAAGAGTGAGAATCCCGCTACTGAACCATGGTTGAGAGTTTCTCAACCCCCCCTGGTGTAGTCCAAGGGATGTGGAGTGCAGTAACTCTTAGGTCCAAATTTCGAAATACATCACAAGCTGTTTCAACTGAGGACTCTAGCTCTATTGTCCAATCTACTGACGATGCTGAGTGTATAATATTTTCTATATTTGCAATCCAGACGTTAGGTTAGGGATGGGCTGACGCGTGCTCGTTTTTGACAACAGTATGGAAGTCAAAGGTTAGAACTGCATGGTCACTTTTACCTAGGGGTGGCATGTAGTTGAGACTCGTGACGTCATCCTTGTAATGGGTCAATATGAGGTCTAGTGCGGATGATACAGAGTCCGGGTCGTGCCTAGTCGCTTGTTTCACATGTTGTCCTAGGGCACATGTGATAACCACAACAACTAGGTTCTGCTGGAAGGAATTTTCTGACAATTCAGTCTACCATGGGTGTATCAAAGCCTCCCTGGATTATACATCGACCACTTTGTGACCAAGTATTGAGACTGTTTAACAAGACCTCATTCACCTCACAAATTCAACTGCCGTAGACCAAGCCAACCAACAGCTCTTGTCCGTTGCATTTTAAGCGGCAACTAACTAATTCACACGTCTCACTCTCATGAGATAAATTATCATTAGTGGTAAATGTGATAGTATTCCTAATGAATAGAGCTACTCCTCCTTTACACTTCTGGATTCTATCGGGTCTTTCTAACCTGAAATCTTCAACATCAAGTCCCATACTGTCTATAGACTGTGTCAACCAAGTTTCTGTGACTGCGATTAAGATCCGGCTTGGTAGAGTTAATTTATACACCTAACTCTGATCATTTATTGAGCAAGCTTCTGGCATTAGTGTAACAGATCCGAAGCCTATTTAAATCACTTCGTGCTGCACCCATAGTGACTTCGGCATCATTCTCTCACCAGTCTCACCACCCGAAAACTTATAATTTTTAGGTCCTTTTTGCCACCATCTAACCTAAGTTTTAGTTCATTTTCGGCTTCTCGTCTTTTTATACGGTCCAGGAGGGGCAAGTGCTTACGAACAAAAACTCCTGAACCCTTCAGTTCATGTCCATTCGGTAATATTAAGTCCCGTTCATTGGTAGATTTAAATACTATTTTAAACAGCCTGGTTTGATGCTGTTTCAAATTCATTTGGCTATTTAGTCTATACACATTTAGCAAGGTGACTCCGGAGATATCCTGAGACATAGGCGGATTCAGTAGCTGTCTTATCATCCCGATGTCATGCTCAAAACGAGTTTTAGTTTCTGAGCTTTCACTCTACTTGGTTCTGTGAAAGATAAATGACCTATCGCTGTGATCAGTCTTTAATTTTTCAGCTACTTTTTTGAGGGGGGGAGTGGGTTGGATTTTCTTTAATAGCGTTGTGCCGTTTCTTTTTCTTGACCTGTATCCATTCATAAACCTTCGTTGGAGTAGCAACCATAGTCGCGTCAAACACACTGTGGGATTCCGGAATGTTATCGACGACTTAGGCAGTCAGGTTGTTTCTTCTGCTAGGAAGAGATCTAGCCTTGCGATTGGAATTTCTAGGCATTTCCTGCCGACTACCATTTAGAGGACGGGGGACAGAGGAAATCACGTTTTTGAGTTTTTATTTAGAACAAAACTCTTTGAAGTCGTTACTTCCTTCTTTGATCCATGTGAGTCAGTTGTTGCCGAGCTTATTTGAGGTGGTTTCACATCAATTTGTGTATCGATAGAGCGAGTAATGTCCGATGTGTCTCGACCTCATTTGCTAATACACTTCTTGGCAGCATTTACCACTAAAATGGCCTCGGTTAGCAAGCTGTTTGAGTACGAGTAGCACTGCTGAAAAAACCTCATGCAACCATTTTTACTAGACCGTTTGGAAACGACAGGCGTTAGATTCGCGCAAACTTCGTGATAAAATCCTTTACACTCGTCGCACTGCATGTCGCTTTCATCGGGGAATCGGCAGCCTGGGCGTTGACAATTGCTTTTCTTGAACTGTACAGCCGTCATACAGAGGTTTTCGAAAAGAAACTAGATACAATAATACCCAGAGACAAAAGAAATTGATGACCAAAATGTGGAAAACTGTAAATTGTTAGAATCAAAATTGCTAACAAATACAATAGCAACAGAGTACTAAAAAGTAAAGACGACAAACTATTTTAGAGACGATAACGATACTCTTATCGGATACTATAACTGGAATAAATTCAATTGAAGTGTAAACAGTAGTCTTGATACGTAATAATCGATCAAAATAATAAAATTTACTCAGTGAGGAAAAATACCATGATCCTTTTTAAATAGCGCGCTTAGAAATAATAAATATCAGGGAAATATACAACGTGATAAAATAATCAAACATAATGGCACAAGAAGTGCATAAAAAATTCGAGGAAACCTATGAAAAATGAATGTAGAAAATGAGAGTCAAATCTTATCACATTGCTTTGAACATGCTCAAGCTTATTCTCTTCATATCATTCATACATTTCTTTTTCCTGACTAATGCATAATTCAGAAAAAATTTACATTAACGTTCTTCACATTTGCCAAACCAAAAATATCAACAGTTCTTCTTCCATCTCCCTATTCAGATATTGTTTTACTAACATATTTAATCAGGTGGTTTCATCAACGATATGAGTAGCCCAAAATCAGAACTAATGACGGCGCAAAAATGTGCAAAATAACGATGAAATTGTCATGAACAATTCATATTTATATCTAATACAAAACACTTCGGTCAGAACAGATAGAGACTTAATTTTCACAGTTTTCTGGTAGATGCTGTCAATTCACGTATATGAAACAAATCGTATATCTATTTCACGTTATTGAACTGATTAGATTTTATTTTCGTGTTGTGCTCTCTTACAAATCATTCTTGTTTTATTTTTCTCATCAAACTTGAGTCACCTTCAACTTTTTCAACTAGTTGTGTTATGTTTATATTAAATCGATATATACTCCGATTGACCATGTTTTATATCGTTTCATGAGAATTCTAATATATTGTTGATAGTATTATAACTCGTACTAAATAACTGACATTATGTGAACTAAATTATTTCGATTGTATTAGAGATTATTTTTAGGTTAGTAGTGACTATCTTGTTTGCATGTAAACCTGTCATAATCGAAAGCACGTTCAATCAAAATAAACAAAGTGGATAATTGAGGTTTCGCTTTATTCCCATTGGCTGTCGATGGGAATTCGGTTTATCAGTTTACTTACAATGGCTTACGAATCTAATGATTAGATATTAATCAGACACCTGAAAATGTAGTATTTCACAAAGACGATTTATCAGAAAGGAAGTCATCTTAATCAACTGACTGAAAAGTGTCTTTTGAAGATTGTAAAATTTTCATATTTTAATTCATCAATTACTATTAGCGGGAATATCATCAAATACCTGGACGCAATGGGTGTAAGACAATTATACGTTGCAGTCAACGGAAGATGACATCGCTGTACTGTGAATCGATTATGTTTAGACATTTACACTGTGGGATAACCAGTCAGTGGTCTTGAAGTTAAGCGTCTGCGAACGAGGTAGAGTGGTTTTTATTCAATTCTCTGTGGCGAGATCGCGGATGTCTACCGCTTAGGAGTCCAGTACTTTCACGTTTTCACACGTGACCTAGCTAGGATTTTTCGGAGCAATCAGGTAAACACACTTCTGCTTTGGGGAGGTACTGGGTGATTTATCTAGAGCGGGAATGATTGACTCACTACTCAGCTAACAAAATACAACACCACTATGAATGTTCAAATTTCGAATCCACACCTCTGATTTATCGTTTTCTTCAGATAACTGTGTCGTTCACAATTTGTGTTTTTTTCTGTTTTTTTTGTTCTCCAAAATGAAATATACTTTAGTTTCATGCTAAAAATCAGAGTATTGTGGTTCGTGAAAAAATTTAGTGAACAATTTTGTGATCAATCGGCAACTATTAGAAATAAGAAAATGCTGCTATGACTGTATGGTAAAATGTCAGAAAAATATGATTTTAATGATCTTTACTTCTTAATTCATTTTTTGAAGTAATCCCCTGTAACTAATAAAAGGATGAGATGTTTCAGTTTTCAAAAAGGATGCATCTCTCAGGTGGTTGAATAAATGCTCATCTTGAGCTATAAAAAAGTAACCATCAGAGTACGGATGTAGCTAGTTGAAAAAGTGATCTGTGCTTAGATGTTTGTTGCTAGAATTTGACCAACCGATTCATTGACTTAATTGCTTCCCAACTTTAGCTATGATTATTATAAGAATTCATGTACATTTATTTTGCCAGGACAAAATATAGCAAGTGTACCTGAAATTAAATCCCCCCTTTTGTTCAGTTGAACTTTACTAATCCACTAAAATATTTCAGTTTGTTGCACTGACTTCTTTTATTGGCTCTCGTGAGTTGTCAACCGGCCTAGAGACTGGATCGGAATCCGATTGTTAGCTGTCTCCAGTTACAGTAAAACATTTAATACTATGGGATAAACTTGACTCCAGAATCGGTTGCTTGGAGATGAACATCTTGTTTTCAGGATTTGATTTTAAATGCTGCATAGCTTAGAGATTACTGATTCATTTCATAGTAAAGTCACTCATGAAAATATTTAGCGAGTTGCATGATATAAACACGTTTCAGTTTACCACTTTAACGTAAAGATGAATCACCTACTGATATTTGCCTAATTGAGAAATAATTACATATATTGTTTTATTTGAAATGTTTTAATTTATAATATTTACGGTCATATACATAATTTATAAGTTTTATTTCATTAAGTCAATGCTGTGTGCCTTTTTTCCCTATTATCAATCCAGTTGTCCAATCCACATGATTTTCAGCTAAATATCTAGTAATCATAAATGCACCTGATTTCAACTGATCTTTTCCTGGATGGATATGAATGTTGTCTAAATGTGTTAGTGTTCTGTTAAGTCTTTTTAAAATAATACCTAAATATACATCGTCGATTCGCAGTTGTTTAGTGAATGACATTGCAAACGATGCATCATGCACAACATCGGCTCCTAAAAAGTAACCTATTCCTAAGAAATAACGTGGATAGTAGTCCCATGGGTATTCATTGTAAGAAACTGCCCACCGTCCACCATATCCGTTTCTAGGTCTGTCAACTTTCCCAAAATATACAGATCCAGCCGCAAGTGATTTCATTCGAGAGTAACTAAATTTCCTTATCAAATTGATCGTATTGTTTGGATGAAGTAGGTAGTCATCGTCAATAAATAAGAATAACGCTGACTGAGAGATACAGAAGTTCGTGGCCCAATGTGAGGACAACATTATTTTAGTTGTCAAATTAAAATATGTATCGTGAAAAGCACCTATTAACATATCATCATGTATTTTACTTTCATTACTTAAAATCTTGGCTGCTGACCATTTCGAAACATCATATTTACTTGATAATTGCATCGCGTCTATAGTTGGGGTAGTCATAAAACCGTCAAAGTGGTAAGTATCTGTTTCGTTTGGTGTTGGCAATCAAACTGTAAACACGAACTGTACTCTGAAATTCTTCCATAAATCTTTATTCACATAAGTCTTTCGGGCAAACGCTCGCTGTTCAAAACAATAAACGCATGACTTCACAATCACCACAAGATCAACATTTTTAGTCCTAGAACAAGGATCGCAGGTGCGTTTTGGTAAGCGAATAGCAATTAAGTCATTGTTGTTGCATGGTATCTAAAATAAAAAATAAATAGAAAATACACGGGTCGGAACGTTTATTCGAAAGGAGTGATATAATAATACATCTAAATGAAACAGTTGATGATCAGTTTACTAGTATATCAAATTAAAAGACCTCTTGAATGCATCAGTAAGATACCAGTGAATATTAAGATACCCAAACAAACTATCATGATTAGTTTCTTAGAAAATCAAACATTCTAAATCTTTAAAATGTTAAAGGCTATACATGGTAACAGTTTCTTAGTTTAACTCAGCATTAAATAGAATTTAAATAATTAGAAATAGATGCCTGCAAAGCTCCTGTGACAATTATTCATTGAAACACCATTAACATGAAATCTATTGTTTTCTTCTACCCGATCTTAGTAAATTGTTGATGAGACTGTTTAGATATTTGCTAGAAATTGTATGTAACGAGCTCAATATCAAACGTATGGGCTTAAAACACTGCCCTTTTGGTGCGTTTTAAAGTATAATGAAATATTTTGTTCATTGGATGTTGATTGTTAAAATTTACTCGGTTGATAGTTGCCTAATATTTTGTTAAAATGATTATTTTTCAGTTATGAAATTATGTTATATTACAGCGATTGATAACCGACTGTATTATAAAGCTTGTAAACATAACTACTTTAAGTAATAAATAATAAGATGTATCTTCACGTGGAACTTTTCATGATAAATGCCTTCAAATAAAGAAATTATATATATATATATTCTGTTATAATTTGTTTGAATCATTAATGGTAAGTTAGTTTCACTCCTTAAATGCTAGCCAAATATATGAATTTCATTTTCAAATAGAAAATTTCCCTTTGGCTGTAGAGTGTTTTGATATGGTGGGCAGTGTCATACGGTTACAATGACGCATGACATTTAGTCACATTTAAAGGAGTAATTTTGTTAATTATACCTGTTGATCAAAGACGGGTAACTTTTTTAGTTTTGTGTAGTCATATTTATATAGTAAATTACTTATTAAAAAATGTCAAGTACTACTCAATTTAATGTATACAAATCTAATTATCAATCATTGTAAAAATTATAAAAATTTATGTATCCATCTATTTGACCCATCATGAAGGTCCATTAAATTTTTATCTATCGTGTTCCCATTCTTACTTTCGTCATCTGACTCTCAATTTCCAGTAGTAAATACCACGTTTTATCATCACTTACAACACGATCTCTATGACAAAATAAAAAACAAAGATTTTCAAAAACTAAGCAAAATATCAACAACATAAATTGTTCTATTTACTAAATAAAAGAAAAAATGAAATTCGAAACACGATTCAGAGGACATAATTGATTTTCGTGATTATCTACACTTTGTAAAGCTTATTGACTATTGATAAATTTCGAAGAAAACTTATTTCGCGAATTCACTACATTTTACAACACTGGTAAAGTAATTTGTATGTTTACAAGGTCATCTTGCATATATATATATATGTATATATATATATATATATATATATATATATAGAGAGAGAGAGAGAGAGGGAGAGAGAGGGAGAGAGAGAGAGAGAATACTAAATCTTAGAGTAATAACCTTTGTTTTACACACCTCGTTCAATGAAAGACCAGATGAGATCGCTTGTAATGCTTTTGTAACATTAAATTGTTTAGGATGATGTTCCATTAAAATAAATGTTACCGGTTCACCAATTTCATTTCTTGTCAATATAGGATAGTTAATGTAACTTTCATTTTTCATTAAATAATCATCATTAAAATGATAAATTATACGATTATCATAACGAATATTATAATGAATTTTTAAATCCAATAATATTGTATTATTATTATTATTTAAAATAGCTAGAAGTTTGGATAAAGATTAAAATTTATGGGTAAGGTAAAAGCTTATATGTAATGGTTAAGATTAGAATGAAATAATGTTATAACCATATAAGTGAATATATAATCAATTATAGATAAGAACTTTTGTCTAAATTTGAACGAATAGTTTCACAATATTTGGGCGCCGAGTTAATGTGAGACATTACAAAGGAAGAATGTATTTGTAAAATCTCAGCGAAAGAATTTGAAGTAATTCCAACGTTTCGCCTGGCAATCTGGTTCAAGCTTTTTCAAGGAAAATATAATCAAACAACAAAATTATCGAATATCCATTGTTTGATTATATTTTCCTTGAAAAAGCTTGAACCAGATTGCCAGGCGAAACGTTGGAATTACTTCAAATTCTTTCGCTGAGATTTTACAAATCCATTCTTCCTTTTTAATATAACCAATTAGTTTTTTAATTTTAAATGTCAAATTTATTTACGTTTGTTACTTCTTATAAGTTTATCGATTTTAGACTTCTTATTCACTAAATCTTTGTAGGTTTATACTCGGTCCATAATTGAATTTACTAACTATTATAATACATCCATTTAATTCATCTGTAAAGCATACTTTTACTATAACATAGAAAAAAGTCACGATAAACTAATTATTGGCTAATATTTATAAAGTTTCTAACCTTTTTTTAAAACAGTTTTGTTAGTGTTTCATAGAATTTGTTGATAACCGTGAGATGGTTTAATTGAATAGTGAAAAACTTATTAACTAATTTATTTTCAGTTAGAAATTAGTTTATTATTCTTCTGTGTTCATTAAAACAAAATGAAAAGATCTAGTACTTTTATCAGTTTAAGACTAAATCAAGTTACATAAATATTTCCGAAATTTGGAAATAAATCGTGACAAAAATAAGTTGTACGTCTTTTAGATTAAGAGGATTAGGAATCGAATAAAGTGAGTTATGGCATGCTGTGAATAGAAATGAAGTTAAACATGAAGTGTTTAGCTTACACCATTTTTAGTAATTCTGTGTGATTCATATAGCAATCATCCTCAATTTTGCCATTTAATTCGTTAGTTTTAATTATGTCAAAAAATTTTTAACATTCAGATCAAAGAACCCTTTCTGAATTCAGAATTTTTAACTAAATTGGTGAATATTTCTTTACCTAGTTAGTTTTAAAGTATTTGAACGAATGGAAAACAATGTTACGACCTTGATTTAGTGCGTAATTTTAAATTTTTTTGGATAAAATGTTAGTTAAAGTATAACCTTTGAAAGATAGTGAATTAATTGAAGACTTAAATCGTGTAGAGAGTTATAAGCAGAGATGGATGGTGGCCAGCAGTAGAATACAGGGTGCGCATTTTTTCCTATTTGGGTCTTGTCATCCGGATGTACCTGCATTTCAAAGTTGATGTTCATTACGAGAGTTTCCGTCAGTGAATTTGGTTAAGACTTGCTTAACGAATTGAAAGCGTAATAAAAAATATCGGTGAGTTATCATATCTCTGGCTGGTTTAAAAAACATTCGAATGTACAATCTTATTTCTTAAGAAACTCGGAATAAAGATATCCCTGAAAACGTCATATCTTAGGAATTTGATCAAGGCATTTTTACCAAGTTAGTAAGGGCAATGAAGCGAGAGGTACTTGATAACGCTTTGAAACACTTACTGATGGTAATCTTGTAGCTGTCGTCTATGTTGCTGATATTCTTGTAAATTATCAAGTAAAAAGAACAGCTGTGAAGTTAAGGAGTTTGAAAACCTTCACATGACTGCTCATTTCTACATATTAACGCTTACATTCACAAAACTTCAATACATTCTTTCCTCTAACCAGCGATATATTCTTACTAATTTGCCTTATAAAAATATTAAACTTGATAGATAGTAAAGATTGCTGAAATACTACACGTTACTAAGCTATATCAGAGAAACAAAGCAGAACTACAAAATCTCCTAAGTATTAAAACCAAGCTTTAACTTGGTAGTTTCAAATATATTGGGCATTGGGTTGATTTTTGTTATGAGATCTTCCTTTTTTTAGTATGTGTTTGATTAACATTTACAATTGTATAATCATTCTAAATGATTCATAATGACGTACATAATCCACCGAAACATTGTATGAGTGCATCGCATCTGGATTGTGAGGGTGTTAATTCTGTCTAATGAAAGAGTTTGAATGGTTATTTTAATTAAAAAGGCATCGGTTCTCTATATGTTTCTGTATTTTCACTCATATTTTAATCTCTATTCCTTTGTCGTCACCTTACATGTTCTTCTTACTCACTTCACTCTAAACTTAACTAAAATTCAGAAGATTCTTTTACTCCTTTACCATTCATATTACCATGTCATCTTTTATCAAACTACATTTACCTACTTCATAAAACTTACTATAATTTTTTACACTTCTGTCGCGTCTTTAAACACCCATCTTTACTATTCTTAATTTTACCATAAATTACTAGCTATACTCCACGAACCTCACCCATAAAGAAACAAACTAATCTACAAAACTGTTATTACATTAACTAGTCTAAATAAATATAATTCATTAAATAATCAGATTTTTAAAAACAAAATTGTCTTCAACGAAGTAGTAAAACCTGGATCAAAAGTAAAATTATTAAAGTCAAGTATATAGATAAGATGGTTTTTAATAATGTAAGTTAGGAAGTCACTGACTTACATTATAAATAGTTATTAGAGGTAAATTTTAAACAATATACATTTATTTCGACAATAAAGGAATCTAATGGTTGAAATTATGAGTCGATTTATGTTAAACCACCCTGGAAAACCTGGAAACACTGGACGGCCGTTTCGTTCTAGTATGGAACTTTTCAACAATGCGCATCCAAGATTCCGCGTGCAGGACGAAACGGCCGTCCAGTGCTTCCAGGTTTTCCAGGGTGATCTAGCTTAAATCGACTTATGAATTCAACCATTAAATTACAATTTCCATGAACCCACATTCTGACAATAAAAGAGTCAATCAATAATAAAAAAACCAATCATCATTGAACAAATTCATGAATGACAAAATGACAAATTGTTTTTACTTCATATTCATCACCTAAAATGAGCAGACCTTTCCTGTTAAGTAAATAAGCAAATGTTTATTTATTTTGGCATACCGCTGCTCCAGTTCATTATACGTTTACTGATTTTATGATGTACATTTATTCCACCTGACATAATATCCTTTTTAGTTAAAGAAGGACCAATGATGTTCAAATGAACAAGTGTTATATTTAATTTATTAAATAAGATCCCTAGATAGGCATCGTCAATGCGTATTTCTTTAACAAAAGCACTTGCGATAGCAAGACGATGCACCAAGCTTGCACCAATAACATAAGTCAATCCATGATAGTACGGTGGATAAGATATCCATGGAAATTCCTTTACAGTCATTGCCCAGACACTACTTGTTTCATCAACCATTGGTCTGAAAACGGTTCGAGATGAACGGATGTAACCTCCATTCATATTTCTTAAATAGTCTTCAGTATTACTATCATAAAATGTTATTACATTCTTTGGTACTAAATCATAGTCGTCATCTATAAACAAATATAAAGGGACTTGTTTTGGACAAAATGCTGAGAGCCATCTTAAACAAAATATCATCTTCTTTGTCAAGTTGTAATATGTATCATGAAATGATCCAATCAACAAATCATCATATAAATCAGCCTCCAATGACAACTGTTTTACAAACGGCCACTTGGAACTTCCATAATGTTTAGAAAATCTCCACCACTTCGTATCCAAGACATATGTATTTCCATCAAATCTGAAGGAGTTTGATTCGTTTTCCATGGGGATTCCTAGGACAAATACAAACTGAACACTGAAATTCGGCCATAATTTTTTCTGCATAAATGTTCGTCTTGCACGGTCACGGTATTCAAAGTTATACACTGACGATTTAATTATTACTATCAGATTTGGAATTAACTCATTGTTGTATGATCTGCAGACAGATTTAGGAACCCGAAGTGCAAACATTTCTGGATTATTGATAGGTTTCTAAAAGATAAAATAGCTTGTACTTTATGTGGAGAATATCAGAAAAATTAAAATAATTAATCATCCAATGTAATTGTTATATATTCTACTTTCGATTAGCTTAATGTGGATTTCCTTTTATCAGTTGTGATATTTCCTAGATGATGGGATTTTATGGAGAGAATTTTTATCTACAGCTGATATTCGTCACGGATCGATCTAAATTTAGCCACTAATGAAAAACAAAAAAACGGGTATATATATATATATATATATATATATATATATATACTTACCGTGTGAATTGGAATTGCATTTTGTATATCATAGATCAGCTTTGAAAAGTTCAAATTTTGTGGAAATATAGAGTAGTCAGTTGAATTCGATCCCATGTATTCTGGTTCCATACCAGTTAATAATTCCTCTTGTTTGTAGCTGTTAGATACCATATCTGCAAATTTATTGTAAAGGTCTTCATCCTTAGAATCTGTTGCATTATGCGCAAGTGAAAAATGTAATGCGAGATTGAAACTATGTAAGCGTTCATCAATTAGGTATGTAACAGAAGATGGTGGCCAACGTTGAGAATATGAATCTAGAGAGATAATTTTTTGATTACTTATCAGATTCAAATATTTAGTACATTTAATCCATGAATGTTTAGATTGGATGCAATTTCTGAAATATTCATTCTCATTAATTTTATATAATGGAGAATGATGAACTATTAATTTTATGCTAGATAACCATACAATGATGAGGTAAATTATACACACACTGCTAATAATAATCAATCCTCTCTGAATTTGTAACATTTGAATAAATGAAATACTAGTTAATACACTAAGTAGTTAAGAGAGTTGTAGAACCTCTTAGTCAGCAGTATGTATTAATGTAAGTGAATAAAACAAGAAATTTCCAAAAAATATCAGTATGATCTTATTTCTGAATATTGAAAATGGTCGATTTCAACTGTTCATGTTATGTATGTTATTCATGTATAATCTATAAATGGCCATTACTCCGGGTTTAGGGGGTTCAATAACTGTTTACTCTCAGTTAGACACACGAATAGAAGTTTATTTAAAACTTAATTTTGGGTTAGTTTGTCAAAAAATTCAAACATTTAAAGAAATAACTTCAAGTTTCCGTTCATTGGGCGTTATTTTATTGAATAGTTTTTATTGTTAACTTTCTACTGTGCTCATAAAGTTCATTAGGAGAAATAAGTAATCATAATACAGATTTAGCCCTCAGATCAATCACTAATAAAACATAAAATGAGGATGTGGCCTTCTAATCAAATATTATATATAACAGTCTAACATTTTCTCTGAAGAATATGGAATTTATCAACCTCCTCAGAGGTTTCAAGTCTACCGTTTTATTGATCAGTATTTGAAGGCGAAAACAGAACATTTATATTGTATGGGTAAGGTTTTTTAGGCAGCCCAATGAAATAAAGTAACAAGGGGACATTCCACTATTGTTACTGGTTAAGGTTATAAATTTTGTGTTAGCAAACCGAAGAGGTTACTTGAGTAGTATATCGGAAATTCTGTTAGCCGACGTAATCTTGAAACATGATGGCTAAAAGTAAGGAAGCAAAATTACTTAGGGACAATTTAGATAGGTTTTAAGCTAAGGTAAAACTAACTAGGTAATCCAACCAGAATTATATAAAAAGTTGGAAGTAAAAACTTTTTTAAATACTTCCACTAAAGGACTTTAGCTTAAACTCATTAAGAAGGCTAAAAAGAGTGTTACTCTATCATCAAGTGAGTAAGTGAACTTTTTAAGCCACTGAACCTATGTCTGTAACTACGCTTTAAGAAACTCTCTACAAATTATTGACTACACTAATAATTGAGGATTAATGTTTTATCAAGCTTATGGTATTTATTTAAGAATGTTATACATAACGATAGAATAGGCCTTATATGTAGGTACATCTATCTTACCTAAAGGACTATTCGCAGATTTAACTTAAATTTTGAATGAGATCTACTGATAGATAGACAATAGTATATTGGAGTAGCCATTAGGACCACTACTTAGTTACTCCTTCTTGATGTTAGCAAATATGCATATTCAAGAGACAATACTAACGATATTTTGAGTATTCACGACGAAAGTTTAGAATCTGACATTTTACTTAAGACATTTAGTGAATCCCATTCACCAGTTCATACAACTCTCCTATGAAAAAGAAGTGAAACCTACGATCTCGTTTCTATGCATTCTATCAATAGGATCTCATATGATCTAATATGGCATTAGCGTTAGCTAAATGAATAAGATCCAAGATTTGTATCGACAAAAATATTTTATATAATTATTTCAGTGATCATGACTATAGTTTCCTTCGTATTCGCAAACTCTTTCATTCTACTTTTTTATTTTACTTCAAAATTTTAAATTATATCTTTTCTTGTCCCGTTTGATCAATAAGATCCAACCGTAATACTGTATACAATGTATTAGTCTTGTTATTATTATTACCATTATTAATTTTATTATTATCATGCTATTCCAATTGATAATTATATTTGTCTACCTACTCGAACAATTACATTAACGCCTTCCATTGTGAAGTTAAATCTTTGACCGTCTCTTTCTAATATTTCCGATTCAGCCCACTATTATTTACTGCAGTCCATGGACTGAACTCGTAAGTGTGTTTAATAACGGTTATACCAGTCATCACACGATTGCACATCTCAAAATAAATGGTTTTTCCTTTTCTGAAATATTTATTCGATATTGAAGATAACTTATGATAATCGTACGACTAACTGATTCATGCATAGTATATTACAATTCACAGTCAATTTACAATAATCTTTAAAGAAAATGACGAAATAAGGGTAAAATCTGTATTATTATCAGAAAATAGCTATAATGTACTTTTTTTAAATTTCAAACGAGAAATTTTATTTTCTGCACAAGAACGATTAAAAACCATATTGAAACTGATAAAAGTTTGTCTATTTTATTCATCTATGATTAATCCATTTGACCAGTCAACAAACTTTCCTCTTGAATATCCAGCGACGGTAATTGCTCTGTACTTTCCATCTTCTGTGTATGGATTGATAGGAAAGTTGTCTAAATCAATAAGAGATTGATTTAATCATTTCAGTATAATTTTCAAAAAAGCATTGTTGATTCGAAGTTTTCGAGTGATTAATGGAGTATTATGTACAACATTTGTCCCTAAAATATATCATACATCGTTAAAATACAGTGAAAATTGTTCCCAGGGATAATCATCTATCCAAAGTGACCATTGATAATTAAACGTGCCTTTCGATCTTCTCACATTTTCAGAATAAAATAGATCTACCACAATCGACTTGACCTTAAATGTTTTTAGTTCTAGCACTAATTTGTTCCCTGATTTTCATACTAATTAATACAAAATTTTGTGGTGACGTTTAGATTCTTTATCTACTTTCATTACTATTAATGGCAAAGGATGCTAGGTGGATCCAACAAGGATTTTAAATAATAATTGCTTCTCACTTTTGAGTGACAAATCTAAAGTAAACATCCTCATTCATATTTTGAATCAGACCGATTCTGATTGCGACAGGTGTAGACTTAATGAGAGAAGGATTATAGTGATCTTTTACTAATGGTACATTGACTGAACAGATTGTATTCAGTTGAGTAACCTTTCTTTTAGCAGCTTGAACAAAAACAATCCACACACTTCACAAAGCTACACACAACTACCAAAACGATTATGTTAGACATACAGACTTTCAGTTTTCTAAACCAACTTTAAGAAACAGTGTCAGTTATAAACTGTCGAATGAGTACCCTGGAAACTGATACTAGAACAGAGTACTTGAGGGATTTGAATTGGTGAAATAAAGTGTAAAGAGTCACCGTCCAGCAGAGAAAGTTGTTTGAACACAGTGACAGTAATTCCTTTTGATACAACTTCTTTCAGCAGCGTGAATCACGAAAAACGTATTATTCCTTTGTTTATTCAAAGGTGACTTTCAAGCAACTCATATCATATTTGTTAAGTTAGATAAGCATTAGTGCACTGTATATATGTGGGTACACATTAGAATATGATTGTGAGAATTGAATTTTTAGTAACACCAGCTTTTTTTCATTTATTAATGTGCACATAAACATCGTGGACACCTTATGAGATTGTTTGTAAAACAATTTGCTGTCTTACTAAGATTTCATGAGTTTTGATAATCTCATAAATCATTTATATATAAAACCTTGGCAGATATAATACTACAATACTTTACCAGTTCACTAATTTTCATGTTTGCTTTGAAATTTATACGTTTAAGTATTCAAAATATGATTCGTTAAATAACTCATTTGCGACTCGAATCAACCATCCCAAATAATCTTTAATAATTCAGTGATATTAAAATATTCTGGGTTATGTTCATGATATGTTTTAATCAATAACTTTTCATGTTTAACTTGATATAAAATATAATTGCCTGTATGGATTAAATAATACTCAGTGAACCGATTCTAGGTTGTATCAGAATTTTTATTTTTATAGTTAAGCTTTAATTGATGTTGAAAAAGATATGAAATGGGACAAAACTAGTAAATCGATTAGAACTTAACAGTATAACAGAATGATCACCAATATTTACAGAATTGAACTAATTTTAAAAAATTGTCAAAATCCTTTCGTTGTTACAAGTACACTAAACGTGTGATGATTACATAACAATTCCTTTGATTATCAGTATAGAGTTGCGGAGATTGTTAATTTTATTTTTGAGATCATTAATTGATTGAAGTTAAACTGTTGAGAAGTCCCATACTAGGATTAAATGACTGTCTAGTGCTTCTTTCAGGTTTTCAATGATGGTCTAACATCAATCGATTTATGATTTCAATAAAAAAATAGATTATTGAACAGATGGATAATTAGGGGTATAATCAATATGAATCCTTTAATTTTACATTTCAATGATCATGATAAAACAGAAATATTCATTAAGTTAGTATACGTGAAATTTTACAATTAAATCATATGAAATCTACTAAAAATATCATGCATATATTTGTTGTTCACTATAAAACATGACACGTTATTTAAGACTAAAATTATCGATTAAACACTTTGATGGTGATACTTATGATTTGAAATTTGTCTTTAGTTCAGATATTTAATTATTACTATGTAATTATTATCAATTTAGTAATATGTTAATTTTAATAGTTGAGATTACCAGTCAATTGAAGCTAGACCACCATGGAAAACCTGGACTAATGATCTCAACTATTAAAATTATTACAATATCCACAATAAACCCATTCTGATAGTAATATATTAATCATATAATCCTTTCGTTGTTAAATAGTAATTGTTTTATTAATTTTATTATAAATTAATGTGAATCAACATTAATTTATTTCTATCAAAAGAACAAAACTACAAATAATAGTTATGTCTGAATACTTAATAAATTGAGTTAATGAGAAAACAGTATTCTATAAAATTCAGGCTTCATCATTTTTATCGCCTTCAAAACACTCACAGTATGCGATAATACGAATATCTAAATATCCTTGGAAGTTACAAATAAACTAGTAAGA